CGACTCTGCTTTGAAGGAGGCAGCTGTTCCCTAGTTGTTTTTTGAGTGCCTTCAGTTTGAGAACAAACAACATCAGTCAACAGCCTGAATCTAGGACACACAATCATACCAGGCAGATGCCAGTCTAGAAGATGAACACTCAAGGACTGTTCAAAACCAAAAGATTTACAACAGGGAACCAGAGAGGTTAATCTGCAATTGACACAATGTCAGAAAAATGAAAGAGAGAATAAATGGTGTAGGTATAGAACTTTCTAATGGAGAGGAAGGCAAGGCGATATCAGGTAATAAAAGACTGGTTCAAACTAGGAAGATAAGAGTAAGTTTCAAAGTAACCACAAAGAAAGTTAACAAATCTACTCATCAAAATAAAGTAGGGAAACATAAAGTCTCAGTAAAAGCAAAATCTACAAAAACAAAAGAAATGGGAGAAAAAAACCCACAAATAAAAGGAATTCAGCACAGGAGAATAAGAGGAACGAAGAAATCATCAGCACCACAAAAACAAAGCACTAGAAAATGACAACAATACACTCACACCTATCAATAATTTTGCTGAACGTAAATGGTGTGAATGCATCCGTAAAGAGAGAGTGACAGAATAGATTAAAAAAATAGGATCCATCAATATGCTGTCTACAAGAGACACACCTTAAAAACAAAGACATAAATTTATTAAAAATCAAAGGATGTAAAAAAATATATCCAGCAGACAGCCACCAAAAAGTAAGAGTGGCAATACTAATCTCAGATAAAATAGACCTTAAGACAAAATCCACCATAAAAGACAAAGAAGGACAGTACGTCGTGATTAAAGGGATGATCTAGCATGAAGACGTAAATAACCATAATAAATATCTACGCACCCAATGACGGCCCCAAAATACATAAAACAAACTTTAACAACAATGAAAAGAGAAATTGACAGTTACACTGTTAATAGTAGGAGACGTCAACACAGCACTCTCGGGAAAGGACAGAACATCTAGAAAGAAACTCAGCAAAGATACAGAAGATCTAAAGGCCACAGTCAGCCAACTTGAACTGATAGACGTATGTAGAACACTCCACCCGACAGCTGCAAAGTACACATTCTTTTCCAATGCACGTGGAATGTTCTCCAGAATAGACCACATCTTAGGCCACAAAGCAACCCTCAACAAAATCCGAAACATTGAGATAGTACAGAGTATCTTCTCTGATCACAGTGCCATCAAAGTAGAAATTAACAACAGGAAGAGTATGGAAAAAAAATTAATTACATGGAAACTAAATAACACAAACCACTGGGTAATAGAAGAAATCAAAAAATTCCTAGAATCAAATGAGAATGAAAACACATCATACCAAAACCTTTGGGACATGGCAAAGGCAGTGATCAGAGAATAATTTATAGCAGTAGATGCACACATCAAAAAAGAAAAAAGGGACAGAATCAAAACATCAGTTACACAACTAGAACAAACAGAAAGAGAACAGGAAAAGGAGCCTACAGCCACCAGAAGAAAGGAAATAATAAAGATCAGAGCAGAAATAAATGAACTAGAGAATAGAAAAACAATAGAAAGAATTGACAAAACCAAAAGTTGGTTCTTTGAAAGGATCAACAAAATCGACAAACCACTAGCCAAACTGACAAAAGAAAAAAGGAGAGGAGGCAAATAACCCAAATAAGAAATGAAATAGGGGACATTACAACAGATCCAACTGAAGTAAAAAGGATCATAACAGTATTATGAAAAACTATACTCCAACAAATTTGAAAATCTAGAGGAAATGAACAAATTTTGAGAAACACACTGCCTACCCAAACTGTCACAAGTTAATGTTGAAAATCTGAACAGACCCATAAGAAGAGACTGAAAAGGTAATAAAAATAACTCCCAACAAAAAAAAGCCCTGGCCCAGATGGCTTCACTGGAGAATTCTACTGAACATTCAGAGAAAAGCTTACACCAGATCTACTCAAATAATTTCACAACATAGAAGAGGAAGGGATACTTCCAAATTCATTCTATGAAGCCAGCATAACTCTGATACCAAAACCAGGCAAATACGGCACAAAAAAAGAAAATTACAGACCAATATCTCTCATGAATATAGGATGCAGAAATTCTCAATAAAATTCTAGCTAATAGAATTCAGCATCATATCAAAAAATTAATACACCATGACCAGGTAGGATTCATACCAGGTATGCAAGGATGGTTCAACATTAGAAAATCAATCAGCGTAATCCACCACATAAATAAAAGGAAAGAAAAGAATCACATAATCATCTCAATTGACGGAGAAAAGGCATTTGACAAAGTCCAACACCCAGTCCTGATAAAAACTCTCAATAAAATAGGTGTAGAAGGGAAATTCCTCAACATAATAAAGGGCATCTGTGCACAACCAACAGCCAGCATCATTCTAAATGGAGAGAAAGTGATAACATTCCCCTTGAGAACAGGAACGAAACAAGGATGTCCTTTATCACCACTCCTGTTTAACATTGTGCTGGAAGTCCTAGCTAGAGCAGTAAGGCAAGAAAAAGAAATAAAGGACATCCAAGTTGATAATGAAGAAGTAAAACGCCCTATTTGCAGATAATATGATACTACATATGGCAAACGCAAAAGTTTCCACAAGAAAACTACTGGAACTAATAGATTCAGCACAGTAGCAGGATACAAGACAGTAAACACACAGAAATCAATTGGATTCCTAGATAACAAAGAGAACGACGAAAAGGAAATCAGGAAAGCAATACCATTTATAATAGCCCCTAAAAATATAAAATATTTAGGAATAAATCTAACCAGGGATGTAAAAGACCTATACAAAGAGAACTATGAAACACTACTGCAAGAAACCAAGAGAGATCTACATAAATGGAAAAACATACCACACTCATGGATAAGTAGACTCAACATTGTGAAAATGACAATTCTACCCAAAGAAATCTACAAATACAATGCAATCCCTACCCAAATACCAACAGCATTCTTTAAAGAGATGTTAAAAACAATCATTAACCTTATATGGAAAGGGAAGAGGCCCTGGGTAAGTAAAGCATTATCAAAGAAGAAGAATAAAGTAGGAGGACTCACACTACCTGACCTCAGAACCTACAATACAGCTATGGTAGTCAGAACAGCCTGGTACTGGTAAAACAACAGATACATTGACCAATGGAACAGAATCGAGACCCCAGAAGTAAATCCATCCACCTACAGACACCTGATCTTCAACAAGGGCCCAAAGTCCATCAAATGGGGAAAAGACAGTCTTTTTAACAAATGGTGCTGGCAGAATTGGAAGTTCATCTGCAAATTTAAGAAGCAGGACCCATACCTCACATCATACACAAAAACTAATTCAAAATAAAGACAGAAATCTAAAACCAAAAACTGTAAAGATCATAGAAGGAAAAATAGGATTAATGCTAGAGACACGGCATTATCAGGATACAAACCATAATTAACAACATACAAACTCCAGACCATAAGCTAGATAACTGGGATCTTCTACAAATTAAAACACTTATGCTCATCAAAAAACTTCACCAAAAGAGTAAAAACAGAACCTCCAGACTGGGAAAAAATTGGGGGCTATTACAAATCTGAGAAAGGTCTAATCTCTAAAATCTACAGGAAAATCCAACACCTCTACCACAAAAAGACAATCCAGTTTAAAAATGGGCAAAGGAAATGTACAGACATTTCACCAAAGAAGACATTCAGGCAACTAACAGACACATGAGTAAATGCTCGCCATCACTAGCCATTAGGGAAATGCAAATCAAAACCATAATGAGATACCATCTCACCCTGGCATTACTGGCATGAATCAAAAAAACAGAAAATAACAAATGTTGGAGAGCCTGTAGGGAGAGTGGAACTCTTATGCACTGCTGGTGGAAATACAAAATGGTACAACCATTTGGAAAATGATATGGCGCTTCCTTAGAAAGCTAGAAATAGAAATACCATATGATCCAGCCATCCCACTCCTAGGGATATATCCTAGAGAAATCAGAGCCGTGACATGAACAGACATATGCACACCCATATTCACTGCAGCATTATTCACAATAGCAAAAAGATGGAAACAGCCTAGATGCCCATCAACAGATGAATGGAATAAACAAACTATGGTACATGCACACAATGGAATACTACACAATGTTAAAGAACAATGATGAATCTGCAAAGCATCTCACAACATGGATGAATCTGGAGGGCATTATGCTGAGTGAAATAAGTATCACAAAAAGACAAATATTGTATGAGACCACTACTATAAAAACTCATGAAATGTTTACACTCTAAAGAAACAGTCGTTGAAGGTTACAAGGGATGGGAGGAATGGGAGTGGAAAAAGACTAAATAGACAATAGATAAGTGGTAACTATGGTGAGGGGTAAGACAGTACACAATACTGGGGAAGCCAGCACATCTTGTTCAGGATAAGGTCATGGAAGCTCTGTGGACAAATCCAAACTCTCTTAGGGACTGAATTGCTGGGCTGAGGGCTGCAGGGACCATGGTCTCAGGGAATATCTAGCTCAACTGGCATAACATAGTTTATAAAGAAAATGTTCTACATTCTGCTTTGTTGAGTAGCGTCTGGGGTCTTAAAAGCCTGTGAGTGGCCATCTAAGATACTCTACTGGTCTCACCCCTTCAGGAGCAAGGGAGAATGAAGAAAACTAAAGACACAAGGGAAGATTAGTCCAAAGAACTAATGGACCACAACTACTATGTCTTCCACCAGACTGAGTCCAGTACAACTAGATGGTGCCCGGCTACTACCACTGACTGCTCTGACAGGTATCACAATAGAGGGTCCCAGACAGAGCTGGAGAAAAATGTAGAACAAAACTCTTAACTCAGGAAAAAAAAGACCAGTCTTACTGGCCTGACAGACACTGGAGAAACCCCGAGAGTATGGCCCCTGGATACCCTTTTAGCCCAGTAATGAAGTCACTCCGGAGGTTCACCTCTTAGCCAAAGATTAGACAGACCCATATGACAAAAGGAGACTAAAGGGGCACACCAGCCCAGGGGCAAGGTCTAGAAGGCAGGAGGGGACAGGAAAGCTGCTAATAGGGAATCCACAGTTGAGAAGGTAGAGTACTGACATGTAAAGGGGTTGTTAACCAATGTCATTAAACAGTATATATACTAACTGTTTAATGAGAAGCTAGTTTGTTCTGTAAATGTTCATCTAAACTTCAATTTAAAAAAAAGTTCATAAGAGATGCTGGGTACTCCATACTGTGTCACATTGGGAGGCACATAATATCTGGTCGTCTCACTATTTGTAGTGCTAAGTTTGGTCCCTGGGTTAAGGCAACAGCCATATCTCTCCATTATTAAGATACGTTTTTCCCTTTGCAGTTAGTGGTCTGGGAAGTTGTTTTGTTTATGTGAAGCTGGGAGGCCTTTCTGCTCTGAAAGGATATTGAACTAGTTAATTATGAGAATAAATTTTAAACTTCTGGACCAGCATTTTGTCTCTGGCATTATGGCAGATCATATATAACCTTAAAAACCTTCCACTCTTCCATTACAAAACACCTAGTGATGTTGGATAAAATATAAGAAACTTTCTTTTTAGCTTCCTTTTAAGTGCATCGCTGAGCTTCAGAGAAATAAAATCCTTGGGAGTTACAAATGAAAGAACTACTGAAAAAGAAAAACAAAAACCAGTATGCATGTGACTTAATGCTTTGGCAGTTCTGGAGGTTTTGCTAGACTCAGTAACCTAAAGACTTGATTGTAATGTATATGAGGGGTCCCAAGACAGAGCCTTATATTAGGCCTATATGAAGGAGAGTTGGAGATTAGAATCCCACTTAGGGATAAGAGGGGACCACAAAATTCCACCTACTAGTTCAGAAACACAAAATGCCTTCTACTAGTTCAATAAAATGAGGGCGTTTTTCTTTCTCAGCCTGGACTCTGGCTGGGCATGGGTGTGAATAGTTATCATCTGCTTTGTATGAGGCCCCCAAGCTGAGAAATTAATATAAAAAATGATTCGGGACCCACTGTGTCCTTGGAGTAAGTGGGAAAAGCATATGAAACTGCTCTGGAGAAACAGGTCCACAATCCAAACCATGCAGGATTCCTATAGATCAAATTCCACTGTAGTGCAAGCTCACAACCCAAGATGATAAAAAGCATAAGGAAACAATTCACCATGAACAAGAGTTACAGGCACAACAAACAACAGAGCTAGACCTCTGAGAACTTCATTGAATCCATTGACTATAGACCATAATATGTGTATTTAAAAGTATTAAAAACAAATATATATTTTTTTTATTCAGCAGGTATTTATTTACCTAGTGTATGTTATGAACCAGGCACTGAATAAATTGGCAAAAACTCCTGTCCTAGGGAGCTTACATTTTAGTGGATGGGAAACAGACCAGCAAATATAAACACAATATGCCAGATGGTAATAATTACTATGAAGAAGGAGAATAAAGCATATAAGGGGGTGACAGAGTGATGGTGGAGGGTACTGTGTTTTTTGTTTTTGTTTTTTTTTTTCAATAGATGTATCAGAAAAGGTCTCTCAGATGACATTTGACCAGAAGCCTGAAGTAAGGGAGCAAGTCATGTGATTATCAGAGGGATGATAATTTCAGGTAGAATGAATAGCAAGTACAAAGATCCTAAGTGGGAGCATGCTTTGTGAGTTTAGGGAAAAGCAAGGAAGTTAGTAAGATGAGCAGGTTAATAGAGGTAGATTATGTAGGGCCTTATAGACTATGGTAAAGACTTGGAGTGTTGTTCTGGTTGCTATTGCTGTGTAAAAATTATCCCAAAATTTAGTAACTTAAAACAACCATTGTATTATGCTGTTGGATTCTGTAGGTCAGGAATTCAAACAAGACACAGTAAGGATAGCTTGTCTGTGTTCTGTGCTGTCTGGGGTTGCAGCTGCGACGATACAAAGGCTGGGGGTTATGTGACAGCAGGGACTGGAATCATCTGTGGGCTTATTCACTTACGTGTCTGGTGTCTGAGCGAGATGACTTAAAGAGTAGGGCTGCCAATGGAAGTGCCTACATGTGACCTCTCCCTGAGGTTTTACTTCCGCACAGCATGGCAGCCTCAGGTGGTTACAGTTTCTTAGAAGGTGGTTCAGGGCTCTAGGCACGAGTGTTCCCGCAAATGAACAGAAGCTGCATTGCTTTTTAATGACCCAGCATGAGAAGTCATACGACATTATTTCGATTGTATTCTACTAGTTGAAGTAGTCACAGACCCACCCCGATTCAAGGGGAGGGAACATAGACCCCACCTCTTCATGTGAGGAGTTAGAGAATTTTAGGACAATGTTTTAAAACCACCACAGATGCCATTAAAGCATTTTGAGCAGAAGAGTGATACGGTCTTCACTTGCATTTTAGAGGTATCACTCTGGTTCCTCTATGGAACATTGATTGAAGATGGTGGACAACAGTCGAAATAAGAGGGATCAGTTAAAAAGAATTGCAAGAGTCTAGGCAGGAGATGATAATAGTTTTGATTGGGATAATAGCATGAAAGTAGTGATACAAGGGTCAGATTTGAAATATATTTGGAAGATAGTGGGACCCGAGTTTACAGGTTGAATGCATGTGGGGTGTGAGAGAAAGAAGAATCAAGAATGACTCCAAAGCGTTTGGGTTGAGCAACTGGGTAAATGGTAATGGTGTTTACTGAGATGGGAAACAATAGGGGAAGAGAAAGTTCTCACCTGGGGAGTTCAGAAATTTGGCTTTGGACGTGATAGGTTTATAAAATGCGCGTTAGACATCCAAATGGAGATGTCAGTTATATAGTTGTGTGTGTGTGTGTGTGTGTGAGAGAGAGAGAGAAAATAAAGATGCTGTTTAAAGCCATGGGAATATAAGAAATTACCTAAAGAGTGAATGCAAATAAAGAAATTGAGCCCCAGTAGAGTTTAGGAAGATGAGTAGAAGTTAACAAAGAATGAATGTTCGTGAATGCAGGATGAAAACTCCGATGTATGAAATCCTAAAGGCCAAGTAAAGAAAGCATTTCAAGAAGAAATATTAACTTGGATAAATACTGCTGAAAGTTCAAGTAAGATGAGAATTGATAAATAACTATTGGATTTGGCAACATGAAGGTTATTGGTTACCTGGGAAAAGATGATCTCTTCACATTGGTAGGTACAAAATCTGAACTGAAGTGGTTTCAAGAGAAAATGGAAGGAGCAAACCTGGGTACAGTGAGTACAGATAACTCTTTATGAGGAATTTTGCTGTAGAAGGGTACAGGGAAATGGTGCAGTAACTGGAATAGGACAAGAGGTCATGGGAAGGTTTTCTCAAAGTGAGAAATATTATACCAAGTTAATACAGTAATAGAATGATTCTCAACCCTTCCATAATGGAAGTTTTTTTTTTTTTTTGATGTAATTTATTATTGTTGAGAATATATGCAGCAAAACACCAATTCAAGTTTCGACATGTATATTTCAGTGACTTTGAGTACATTCTTTGAGTTGTGCAGCCATTCTCACCCTCCTTTTCTGAGTTGTTCCTCTTCCATTAACATAAGCTCACTGCCTCCTAAGCTTCCTATCTGATCTTTCAAGATGGTGTTATTGATTTAATCCCATATAGATAGATATTAAAGGAGCATAATCTTCAAGGCACACATTCTTTATTAGTTAAGCTAAACTGTTATTGGGTTTTAAGAAGACTTCAGAGGATATTTTTGGTTTAAGGTTTAAAGATTATCTCAGGGCAGTAGTTCCAGGGGTTTTTCCAGCCTTCATGGCTTCAGAGTCTGATTACATGAAAATTTAAAATTCTATTCTGCGTATCCCCCCTTTTGATCAGGATTCGTCTATAGAATTTTTTGATCAAAATGTTCAGTCATGGAAGGCAGGCACCATCCATTTCTTCTTGTCTCATGGCAAAGGAGGCAGTTGTTCATGGAGGCAGTCAGCCACACATTCATAATGAAGAGTTTTTAAAAGTATAGATGCCTGAGCCATGTGGCAGACCAATTAAATTAGATTGTTCACAAGTGGGGCCCAGGGTATGTATGTGTGTGTGTGTCTATTTTACATTTTCTCAGATAATTCTAATATGCATACAAGGTTGATCTGCTCTGCGATAGAATGGTGAAATGAAAAGCTCAGTAGATAGGTTAAACAGCTCAACAAAGCTGAAGAGAGAATTAGGAACACTAGGAGAATTACACACAATGCAGCATAGAGATACAAAGAAATGGAAAACAATTTTTAAAAGGTTGAGATATGGAGACTCAAATGAGACGGTGCAAGATAACATAGGGGTTCTAGGATAGAATTGATAAATTGGAGAGATTAGCAACATTTAAAGAGAGAATAGCTGGAATTTTCCAGAATTGCTAAATGTAAGAATCCTTAATTTCAGGGAAAAACAAACAGTGAATTCTGAAGGGGTAAATAAAACTAGTCACATTCGTGGTACTATAGTTCTGTAGAACATCAAAGACAAAGAGCTTATGAAAGCAACCAGAAAGTAAAAAACTGATTATCAGAAAGGAATGAAAATTAGACTTAAACTTCTCAGTGGAACAGGAAGCAAGGGAAATATTTTCAAAATAGAGAGAAAATAAGTCATCTGTAACTCTATACTCATTCAGGAGTATGAGAACTCTATTCTACACTCAAACATTTTCAGAGACTTGAACATGTTTACCACTTAGATATTAAAGAACTAGTAGAGAATATATATTGAAAAAAGGAATTTGAGTCCTGAAAGGATGGTGGGCAGAAAAAAAAGGTAAACGTGGGTAAATCTAAATAAGCATTGAATTGACACTATATATGTACACGTGTGTGCGTGTATGTGTGCGCATGTGTGCGTGTGTGTCTCCGCCCTCATGGTGCGGTGGTTAAGAGCTCAGCTGCTAACCAAAAGGTTGGCAGTTCGAATCCACCAGCCACTCCTTGGAAACCCTATGGGGCAGTTCTAGTCTGTCCTGTAGGGTCACTATGATTCGAAATATACTTGATGGCAATGAGTGTGTGTGCGTGTGCGTGTGTGTGTGTGTGTGTGTGTATGGCATTAATGCCAACAACTGATTTTGTTAATAGTTTAAAAAAGATAGGAATAAAAAGAATAAAATGAGTAAAGAAAACTTAATCCAGTAGAAGACAAGAAAAGAAAAAAAAGCACAAGCAAAAAAAGCAAGGTAAATATAATAAACAGAAAATGTTAGAAATAAAACCAAGTCATGTTAGTAAATACAATAAATGTAAATGGACTTAAATGAGCCAGATTATCAGATTGAGTGGAAACACAAAATTCAAGTAAATACTTTCTAAAACATAAAGGCACAGAGGTTGAAATTAAGAATAGAAAAAGATGTTTCAGGCAGATACTAACCAGAAAGTTGGTGTCCTCATGTTACTGTCACACAAAATAAGTTTTAAGGAAAATAATGATAAATTTAGGAGAACTTTCAAGATATAAATAAATATAAATTGTAAGGGAGAAAATAAAGAGAAATTTAAAACTTCTGTACAACAGAAGACACTATATGCAAAGTAAAAGAAAGCAGACTGGAAGATTTTTGCAAACATACACAACCATCAAAGAATTTGTGCCCAGATATAAAGAACTTCTACAATTAATAAGAAGTTGTTGTTGTTAGATGCCATTGAGTCAATTCCTACTCATAGTGACCCTTTAGGACAGAGTACAACTGCCTCATAGGGTTTTTTAAGCTGTAATCTTTTCATTCTCTTAACAGTGTCTTTTGACTAACAGAAGTTTGTACTAATTTTGATGAAATCTAGTTTATTCGTTTGTTCTTTAATGAATTGTGCTTTTGGTATGGTATTAACAAATCTTTGCCTAACTGAAAATCGCAGAGATTTTCTTCTAGAAGTTTTATGGTTTAGGTTTTACTTTTAGGTCTGTGATCAATCCATTTTTAGTTAACTTTGGTGAATGGTTTAAGGAATAGGCCCAAGGTTTTTAATTTTTAATTTTTTTTTTTTTGCATATGAATATCCAGTTGTTCCAGCACCATTTGTTGATAAAGCTGTCCTTTCTCCATTGCATTGCCTTTGTCCCTTTGTCTAAAATCAGTTGTCCACCCAAGACTGTTGCCCTCCCGAGCTGGAACTGAAACCATTACCGGAGACCATCCATCAGCCAAACCATAGACAGGCCCATAAAATAAATAGCTACACCTGAGAAGAGCATCTTCCTAAGAACAATCTATTATACGAGATCAAAAGGGCAACAATTTGCCCAAAAGCAAAGATAAGAAGGCCGGAGGGGGTAGCAATTCTGGACAAAAGGAAATGGGGGAGGGCAGGCACATTGTGGGAAATGGAACCAGTGTCATGGAACACTTTGTGTACAGACTATCAAATAGAAACTAATTTGCTATGTAAGCTTTCACCTAATACACAATAAAAATTTTAAAAAATCAGTTGTCCATGCATGTGTGGGTTTATAGCTGAACTTCTGTTCCATTGATTCCTTTGGTTATCTTTACCCCAGTACCACTCCGTTTTGATTACTGTAGCTCTGTAATAACTCCTGAAATTAGATAGTGTTAGCCTTGTAATGAGATGGATTGACACAGTGGCTGCAACAGTGGACTCAAACATAGCAAAGATTGTGAAGATGGCGCAGGACCGGGCAGTGTTTTGTTCTATTGTACATAGGGTTGCTGGAGTGAGAATCTACTCGATTTACCTAACAGCAACACCCCTCAAATTTTGTTCTTTTTCACAGTTGTTTTGGCTGTGCTGGGTTCTTTGCATTTCCATATGAAATGTAAAATCAGCTTGTCAATATGTATTTAAAAAGCCTGCTGAGATTTTGATTGAGATTGTTTTGAATCTGTAGATCAGTTTGGAAAGAATTGAAATCTTAACAGTATTGAGTCTTCTGATCCATGAACAAGGTGTATCTATTTAGATCTTTAATTTATCTAAGCAGTATTTTGTAGCTTTCATTATACAGATCTTTCACATTTTTTCTTAGATTAAATATTTTATATTTTAATGGTATTATAACTGGCATTGTTTTTTTTTTTAAATTTCAGTGTCTGATAATTTCTTGCTTAGTATATAGAAATACATTTGATGTTTGTATGTTGATCCTGTATCCTGCAACTTCATTAAACTCACTCATTAGTTATAGTAGGTTTTTTTTGTGGATTCCCTAAGATTTTCTACATAGATGATTATGCTGTCTGCAAATAAAGACTGTTTTACTTCTTCTTTTCTAGTCTGAATACCTTTTGTTTATTTTTCTTGCCAGATAGCACTGGCTAGAACTTCCAGTACAATATCAATTATAAATGGTGAGCGTGAACATCCCTGTCTTGTTTCTGATGTTAGGGAGAAAACATTCAGTCTTTCATCATTAAGTAGGATGTTAGTTATAGATATTTCATAGATGTCCTTTATCAGGCCGAGGGAGTTCTAAGTTTACTGAGAGTTTTTATCGGGAATGTATGTTGAATATTGTCACATGCTTTCTCTGTTTCTGTAGAGATATTCATAGGGTTTTTCTTTTTTAGTTCATGTATATAGTGACTTTGAGTTTTGAGTGCTACCAGCCTTGCATGCCTGGGGTAAACTCCTCTAGTCACGATGTATTATCCTTTTGGTAGATTGTTGGAGACAATTTGCCAACAATTTTCTTTAGAATTTTTGCAACTGTGTTCATGAGGGATATTGGCCTCTAGTTTCATTTTCATGTAATGTCTTAGTCTGGTTTGTTATCAGGTTTTGTTATCCTTCTGTCACTTCATAGAATGAGTTGGAAAGCATTTCCTTAAGTTTTTTAGAAGTTTGTGTAGAATTGATACCATTTTTTCCTTGAATGTTTGGTAGAATTCAACAGTGCAGCCATCTGGGCCTGGGGTTTTTTTTGTGGGAATATTTCTAAGTTCAATTTCTGTAATAGATACGGGACAATTCACGTTCTCTGTTTCTTCTTGATTGAGCCTTGTTCGTGTCTTTCAAAGAATTTTTCCATTTCATCTGTTGTTGGATTTAATTACATAAAGTTCACAGTGTTTCTTAATTTTCCTTTTATTATCTGCCAGATCTGTAGTGATATCAACCTTGTTATTCCTAATATTGGTTATTTATGTCTTCCTTCTTTTTTTTTCCTTTATCAATCTGGCTAGAGGTTGATC